CCAAGCCCCAAGCCCAAGCCCAAGCCCAAGCCCAAGCTCAGCAGCAGCAACAAGCTCAGCAACAACAACAACAACAAAGGCAGGCAAGCGGCAGTGCTACACCGTCAGCAGGTTAATCGTACAAAACGGGCAAAATAAAGGAAAGTTTCTTGTTTGGGTTCTAGAGCCACTGGTTTGGTTGGTGCATGGGAAGCGATGAATATTGGTGTTGATCTTGTCATGAAAAAAGCGTACAGACAAAAGAAAGGGCACCATTCTGGTTCTGGTTGTACAGTTGCTTACCCTTTTTATGTATGAGCAACGGATGTTTGGTATGGCATATTCGTGATGAGTTGGAGATCATCTGTAGATACATGTTATTAATTATTCGAGGCGTGAAACAGACGTATCATTACGCTAAGCCTCGAAGTCATCGTCTATTCAAGGCGATTAAAAAAAAACCACCACCCTCATATGCAATTGCATTCACCATGTCGCGCATCCGCAAGTGACACGATGAATAGGAAATACGAGCACAAGGAGATAGAATAAACACATCATTTATCTAACATCAATGCCATGTCTATACTAACGAAACCCAACGCCGTTCATGCACATAAGATGATACAGCCCGCCTCGACGCGGGAATCTCATGAATATCCATCATTCACCATGTCTCACTCAGCTTGGTCCACCGTGCCCACCCCTAGAGCTATCACCTTGAAGTAGTAGCCTGGGCTTGATGAAGTCCTCGTCCAGATGGTGGAATACACTGGCCGGATCTTCCGAGGACCAGAGCTGTCGGAGGGCATTGGTTGCTGTTATAGGTTGGCCACCGGGCGTCTCTGTCGTGGGAGTTGCATATGCACTGTCTGCTCGCGATGGAGGAGCGGTGCTAGCCCGTGGCAGTGGCGATCGTCGGGCTGGCGGAGGCAGGTCGGAAACGTCAATATCGCTACCAATATCGGAATCGTCGTTATGGCGAAGGAGATCAGATCGCTCCGGGATAGAGTTCTTTCGACTCTTACTAACAGGGCGGCCACCAGTGTGCGGAGACGAGGCGCCTGAGACATAACTAGCAGACTGGCCAGCCTCGAGACTGCCAAGGGCAACGCTGCCATTCCGGCGAGGATTATATCCGATCCCCGTTCCTGAACGCTTGACCTGAAGGCCTCCGCCAAAGGTCTCGATATCGAACTCATCGTCACTGTCAACTTCCTCAACAACGCCAGTCCGAATACCCAGGATCTCAAGCATTCGAGCGGTGGTACCACCAAAAATGATGACAGTAAGCACGACAACAACCAGAACAGTAGCTCTAAGTGCGGGCGCGTTGTCGCCAGTGAGCAAAGCAGCCAGCGCCACGCCGACAGCTCCACGGAGGCCAGCCCAGTAGAGCATGGCCTGGTAGTTATAGGGCAGCTCATCACCAACCTCTTGACCGCGTCTGCTGGCGCGATATCGAATGAACCAGTTAATAGCCTTGGACAAAGGGAATACGGCGACCCATCTGGCAGCACAGACAGCCAGAATAGTGACAATGATGAGAGGCGGCTGGAATGAGAGGTTGTTGTCTGTGAACAAAGCCAGCCCCAGGTAAATGAATATGAAGTTCTCAGACAACTGCGATAAGATCTGAAAGATGAACTTGGTGGTGAGTTGAGTTCTACGTGACATATTGAAATAGGCATAGTGCTTAAGCGTAATACCGCAGAAAAGCAACGACACAATACCTGCATGGAAATTAGAATGTGTGCAGCGCAAGCCAGGACTGGAGTGACATACCAGACATATGAAGGCCGTGAGAGAAGAAGTAAGTTGCGTAGGCGATCAAGACAATCAAACAACTCTCAATCTTGGGAATACGGCGAAGGTAGGTAAACTTGAGCAGCAAAGCAGTGCCCACGCCAACGATGAAGCCAATAAACATGCTGCAGAAGAAGACGAGCAGAAAGATTCCTGTGCCTTCAAAGAAGCTGACGATGCCAAGATTAGCAGCCTCGCCCTTCTTGTACTTCTGCGCAGTTTCGAATATGACAATCGCGATGGCGTCATTGAGAATCGACTCTCCAAAGATGATGGTATAGAGCTTGGGGTCAACCTTGTAGGTGTTGAAGATTGCGAGAATAGTGACAGGGTCAGTAGCAGAGAGAGTTGCGCCCACAGAAATCGCATCGACGAAGGTCATGCCCAGCGATCCGGGGAGGAGTGTAAAGATGTACAAGATCAAGCCAATAACGACGGCCGACAGAAAGGTTCCAGCAAAGGCAAAGGTCAAGATGGTGCCAATGTTGCGGAAGAAGTTGGCCTGGTGTAGCTCGTAACCGGAGGATAGAATAATGGGTGGCAGAAGAAGGTTGAAGAAGATTTGGTAGTCGAAACTGATCATGTTGCGAATAGAGTCGCCAGAAGCTATCATTAAGACAAGCCCGACAACCATACCTGCAAGTAGAAGACATGTGTGTAAGCCATTGATCCCCGGTACTTGACTTCAGGGAACGCACCAGCAAAGATTGATATAACCGTTTCATGTATAGCAGTGACCTTCTTCATCTGCAGCATATAGCTTGTGAAGAAAGCAATGATGAGCAGCATAATCGAGATGAAGAGCGCCCACGCCGCGAACAATTCCTTCTGGGCAGAGTCGCCCTCTGGAGGTCATGGTCAGTATTTCTTGTGGTGAATTGTCTCTTTTCGAATGGGAAAACACACCCTCAGGATCGCTCTCTTCATCGGTCGCTCGCTCTATGTTCGATTCGTCAGTCTCACGTTGCGGAACCAGAGTCGAACTCGACAGGTGGTGAATAGCGTACTAAGGAGCTGGAAGCCCATTCCGACGAGCCTCGCGGAAGCCATTGTATTTGCGTCGTCTCCGTGTCGGGTCTCCGTCTGTTTGCGATAATTTTGAAGCCGTCGCGATCGTTCAGATCAAGTGGGAAACCCCTTGCGCGAACCTCGTAAGCTGCGACACTTGAACATTCGCAAGGGAGCACGAGTATCGAGAGGAAGCGGTATTGGAACCGCAGGACGAATCAGTTGCTACTGCTGACGATGTCGACACGAAAGAAGAGTCCAGGCAGCAAAATAGCGAATGTTGTAGGGAACAAGTTGGCGTGCCCTGATCTGGGTAATGCGATTGGGAAGTTAGAGGGATAACTGCTACTAAGGTAGGTAACCTATAGTAAGGTACGTTAGTAAGGTTAAGTTAAGGTAAGGTAATGGAACTACTAACCTAAAGCTAGGTAGTACCTTTGAGTGCATGGAAGGTGGGCTAACTTAGCAGCCAAGATAGTAGGTACAAGTCAACCAGATGAAAGGCGACAGCTTTCAACAAATCAAGACTCTGATTGGCTCATCTTTGATGCAAAGAATATTACATACCTACCTACCTTACCAACCCGAGTTGTTCACAGTTAGACCGTGTTGATCAAGACAATTGACCTCTAAACATCTCTAATCTAAAGACATATTCTAACCGATGGGGAGCCACCTGTAAATTCTGTTTTCTTCTATGAATTCTATTAGCAGTGAAGAGAAAGATGACGTAAGATCATTCCACCATCAAGTTGTCATGATATACTCTGTACCTTGCCTTCCATACCTAACCCCCATCATGCTAAGTACATGATACCAACGTCGGGACTTGGGACAAAGAAACAAGCAAACATATCCAAACTCGGGGCCGAGTTTACTTTCAGCTCGTACAGTATTGGACCCCATTTCAATCAGGTTTGTTTCGCTAACCAACCATTATTGGCTTGTGGTCTTCCTAATCGGCAAACTCACAGTCCTTGATTAGTTATGAGTTCCATTGCATCCATGGACGCTAGCGGGGCCCTCTTGGTGGGGGATAGGCTACATAAGGTCTCCTGTTGAGACTCTTCAGTAGGTCAATCCACTAATCATGATGGAATTTAAGCCCCTGGAAGGGGGTGGAGGGGGACGACAACGCTGTCAGCCCCGGAGCTAGCCTCTGTACTTAGACCCAAAGTCTTCACTTCGATGGGAAGCTGTCAACTTCACAACCCAGCTGAACAACTCCCACTGTCGTGTCTACGACGAACATTGGAAATTACGACGTCAATCACGCACATAATCTGTAGGAGCACTCGCGATTACGATGTACCACCTCGCCAAAGGCATTTACCTCTATGCGACCAGCAAAGAAGGTACCTTGAACGCCTCATGATTTCTTCCCTCGAACGCTAACCTCGCTACCTTCAATGCTAGAATACTCTGTAATTCTTCTAGGCCTTGACAATGCCGGAAAAACTACCTTTCACGAACAAGTCAAGTCCATGTTTCTACCAAACAGACCCGACCCGAAGCTCAAGACAGTACCCACCGTAGGCCAGAACGTTTCGACGATACCCCTACAAGACATGTACCTCAAGCTCTGGGACGTAGGCGGTCAGCACTCGCTCCGAAAGCTCTGGCAGAGTTACTATGCAAGCTGCCATGCCATAGTCTTCATCATCGACAGCACAGATATTGGCGACGGAAACATTGAGCATGAAGAGAACGTTGGCAGACTGGAGGAGTGTCGGCTAGTCCTCGAGGACGTCCTACAACACTCTGAAACTGAAGGGGTACCGCTTCTAATTCTAGCAAACAAACAGGACCGCGAGGACTGTGTCGAGACGATACGAATCAAGGAGGGTCTAGTGAAGAAGGTTATGGAGGGCGACAAGGGCTCTGCTGTCCGCGACTCTCGAGTGCTGGCCATGAGTGCTCTTACTGGCGACGGAGTCCGAGAAGCTATCGAGTGGGTAAGGACCAGAGTACAATGGAACAAAGAGTCTCGACCGCCTGTGATGCGGTAGTTTCTAACATGAGCGGCCTTTGTGTGCCATCACTACAGCGAGCTTAAGAGCTACGACAGTGCTTGGTTCGGCGTATGTATCGGAGTTTGTATGGAGCATCAGTAAATCACTGTTTAGCCTCGAAGCACGGGGAACACTAGGCGAACGTTTTGCGGGGTATCATGGTTTCTATTTTCCTCTGGGTTTATTGTTTTTGTTGGAATTAAGTTGCAGATGTTAGCCTCACCTGTCGTTCTCGGCTGTCAACTCAGCCATGAGCCCTCCTTTGTCCCTTCGCTTTGCGTCCTCAGCTAGCTTACTATCCACCAGGTCAGATAGCTCCTTAGATCGGTTGAGTGCTCCTTGGGCACACTGGATGAAGAGTGGTGCGTCAAGAGAAGTTCCACCCAGTTTGGCAATCTGACAAATCTCGCCATGCTTGTTGAGACTGTATGTGCAGTGAGCAACTCGCAGTTGCTCCTCAAGCCAGTTGGTATCAACGAGGACTTGGCTCCCATCTTCGCCAAAGAAGCTGAAGGTGACACAGAAAGGGGAGTGTAACCAGCTTAGAGGCACGGGCTCTCGCTCAGCGGGTGTGTATATGGTGAGGTTTTCTCCCTCAATGCTGGAATCAGGCTTGCGGAAATGCCGAAGAGCTGCAACAACCGCTAGACAAGCCGTGTCTGTGAGGTTTCCATCATGTGTGAGGACGTGAAGATCGGCTCTGATAGACCAACATTTCTGGCCGGCGATGAGGCATAGTGACTCGGTGTCTAACGCACCAGATCTTCTGATTGTTTTCTCGAGAAGCCTGGAGAGAAGAACCTCCTCGAGTGAAGGGCGGTTGACCTCATATGAAGGGGCAACCATGGGGCTGAGTTCTGATGTGATTGTGAAAACACCGTCAAAGGGACGGTCTGAGTACGGCACGGTGACTTCTGCTGAGACCTTGGCTAGAACCCTGAGAGTTTGATTAGCAAGAAATATATATCGCTGAGATACAATTGTGAAATACCTTGTTTTTCCATACTTGACTTCCGCAACTCCATATTCATCTCCAAAGGTGAGTTCAAGAGGCCGAAACTCGTCGAATTTGCGTCCGTCTAATCGCAAACCCTCATCGAGAGCTTGAGTGACAAAAGTCCTCTCAGAGAGAGAAGGTTCAGCTTCGCGAGGCATGATTGACTATTATTTTTGTGTGAATATTTCGCGACAAGAAATGCTGTGTTTATAAACTGCCAAAGCGTAATAGACTGAGAGAAACATTGAAGAAATTCTGCCGGGCGGTGAGGCCCCATTTACGATAGGTAGGCCTCCGTCTCACTGTACGCCTCGCGTCGGCAACATACTACCTAATGTTCAAGACTTCTTATTGACATTGAGGCACCATTTCTTCCAGAATTCATTGAGGAACTATCGCCATGACTACCGCGCATAGACCTACGTTTGATCCGGTCCGTATTCTCTCTTCTAATTTCTTCAGCGCGTACTGACTTTTCACAGGCCCGTGGCAAAGAAGCCCTCCGAGGTCCAGCCTACCATCAACGCCTACTTCCAGCCCACACACAACTCAAATATCGTCAAGCCGGTCAAGGTGGCGATGCTGATGAACCCGCGCGCGATCTCGCTGCCGAGCTTCTCGCTGCTGAATCCGCCCATTTCACCAAGAAGAATGGCGCCCCTACTCTCATTGATGATGCCGACGAGGACGACGAAACCAGCGTGTCCAATGGCGCGAAGCGAGCGCTTCCGATTACTGATGGCGAGGGAGAGGATTCAGAGGCGAAGAGACGGCGGATCTTGGCAGAAACAAGAGATATCGATGCCGACGATAGTGAAGAGGACGACGACGATGACAGTGAAGACGACGAGGATAGCGATGATGACTCCGATGCAGAGCTGCAGAGAGAGTTGGACCGTGTACGAAGAGAGCGAGAGGAGAGGAAGAAGAAAGAGGTAAGTCTGAGCGATTCTTGGTTGCAGATAATGGTTTGCTGATACACATCACAGGAGGCCGAGCGGCTCAAAGAAGAGGAAGAGGCCCGAGAACGAGATATTGCCTTAGGAAATCCTCTCCTCAACAAACAAGACTTCAATATGAAGCGTCGATGGGACGATGACGTGGTATTCAAGAATCAGGCGCGTGGCACAGAAGACAGGGGCAAGAAAAAGGAGTTCGTAAACGTAAGTTTTGTGATTCGCAAGCATTCTCTGCCAGCGACTCAGTTCTATATGTATTTCTTTTTCTTTTTCTCTTCTTTTCCCTTCAAAGATGAAGAGACATCATTCGCTAACCCAGACCTTTAGGATCTCCTCCGTTCCGACTTTCATAGGCGCTTCATGAGCAAGTACGTTAGATAATGACATAGACAAACTCCTCCATTTTAGACATTAGATACCCTGAGTTTTAAATCAAGCACTCTCCTGCAACCGTCTTTGTCCGCCCTTTGACTGCAAAGCCTGCTCGGCGAGGATCTTGTTCTCCAGGCCTTCGAAGGCTCCGAGAACGTTGCCGTACTTCTGATAGGTCCCCTCGCGGTAACCGTCATCGATGCGCTGGATGTTACCCTCCTCAGTCCATCGCTTACCGATAAGCTCGTCGAATGTCTCATTTGGCTGGCGCTCGAGAGCCCAGAGGGCCTTGTAGGCTCCGCCAAGGGCGCAGGCATTACCGCCAACGTCGAGCTTGTAAACACCATCGCTGCCGCCGAGGACCTCGCCAATCACGCGGGCGATGGCTGGGTTCAGAGAGCCACCTCCAACGAGGTAGATGCGACGGGGCTGAGCTGGTAGGCTGGGTCGAGTGCTCTCAACCAGATTCTGAGAGCGCAGGCGCATAGACAGGGCCTGAGACTCAACAATCACTCGAGCGTCAGTTTCCTTGTCCCACCCTCCCTTGACTTCCTGAAGGTCAGAGCCATCCGGCTCGCATGAGTATCGCCAAGTGCCTGCACGGATGTTGGGTACCACTTCGGTAAGGTAGAAGTATAGACCAAGCTTGCGCCTATCGTCCTCCTTGGCAGCGCCCAGAGCAGGAGTGTTCTCAATGGCCTTGTTGAAGTTCTCCCAGCCGGTAGGACCGTTCTCAGGCTTGGGAAGTTGGTCTCGCACTCGCTCACGTGCTAGGCCTCCGTTCTTGTAGCACAACATAAACATGTAGTGGCCATCGGTTGTGGGGTGGTTGAAGAAGTGGTAAGCGCCATCAGGCTTGTACTTTGGTGTGTTCATGAGGAATGTCGTCGAAGTACCGAGAGAGACGATGGCGTCGAGAGGCCGAAGGGGAAGGGCGAGAATAGTTCCGGGGTTATCGCCGGTGAATGGTGTGATCTGGCAGTCGGGGTGGAAACCGTGACGGTCCACGAAATAGGGAGAGATAGAGCCCAAAACAGCAGCGCCATCGAGGCAAGGCTCACCCAGTTTCTTTCGTAGGTTCAGGGCCTCGCGCTTGCTCCCAGCAGCAAGCTCGAGAAGAGGTTGGCTGTATGTTTGGCGGGACATGTCCCAGAGGTTCATACCACAGACATCGCTGACATCCATGGGGGCGATGGCGCCGAGGAAGACGGATGCCAGCCATGATGAGACGAGGGAAATGTGAGCTGTCTTGGCGTACATGTCTGGGAGATCCTTCTTGAGGCGCATGATCTGGGTTCCAGTAAATCGCTGGTGGAATTGTCAATTTCTGGTTTTCTCTAGCCGCTGGGGAATCGGAATCTCAACTTACATGGTGAGCACCGCTGCCTGTCGCCTCAGCAAGCTTCTGGCGACCGCCGAGCGCAGCATCAAAAGCGTCACATTCAGCCTGGGTGCTCTGATCCTGCCAATTGGGCGACCATTGGTGCGAAAGGGCCTGTGGTAATTGAACAACCAGAGGGAGACGAGGATCAAGATGGTGGAGAATCTCGTAGGCATTGCCATTCCAGTAGACACTGCCATGCTGCTGGCAAGAACCGCTGATACCGCGAATATGAGATAGAGGAACAGGCATAGACTCGGCCAAACGGTCCAGGACGAGATCTACAGACTCTAGCCACATGGCAACGGGCGCATAGACCTCGCCTGTCTCCTCGTAGACGTGGACACCTTTCTTGATGCCATATTTGTGGCCAAAGTCCTTGTCGAAGTCGACCTTGGCTTCGCCTTTGACCTTGAGGTCTGAATCGACCACCAGAGCTGGATATGGGTTAGCGAATTGTGCCGGCAGCTGAGAATCTGGCTGACGTGCCTTTGAGCTGTTGAGTCGACAGATCGAAGCCGAGGTAAAGTGGCTTAAAGTCCGAAGACTGATCTGGAGAGTTGGATCGAGCAAGGAACGGCATTGTGAATAGTTTTTGGGCAAAGGTCGAGCCGTTGAATCCAGGTAAGAGTGCCAACCACGGCCGACGTCAATGGTAGCGAGATGACGAAATGAGAGCCAATTCAGTAGGTGACGTAAGAGTTGGCAGTCTTGTAAGTGCGTGCGCGTGGTGCAGATGATCTTTTATAGCGAGCAATGGGTGAAAATACTCAGTAGTTAAGATAGAGAGAATATGGGTCAAGTTGTGTGAGACAAGGGAAAACACCAGAAAAAACCACGAGCTGGGCTTTATAGGTAGCTTATAAGGCGTGTACCTTGCCTTAGCTGAGTAGTCACCCACTGCCAGTACAGGACAGGACAGGACAGGACAGTAACTGCATCATGTTAGACCGCCACCCTCCAACAGGGAAGAATGAGATAGACACACACTAAGATTGTCTGCAGTGGGTAACATGCATCGGAATCAACTGCAAAGAAGGTACAAAGCTAGCATTAACTTGTAAGGCGTGGATGCAGTAATGGCAATGCCAATGCCAATAATAATTCTGTGCTCTTACCTCAGCTATTTACCTACCTAACTAGGTACACAAAGACAATACATAGGTAGTCGCCAAAATCATGCTGTAAAAACTGGGCAACGAGCTCGGTCATATGAACACAATTCCATGCCAGGGGAATATATCCGCGAGTCTACTATTTGCTGCTGATAAGTACCTATTGCATAGGTATAGAATGATTACCTGGTAGCTGGGTCATCTTGACATAAAAATTAACAAGATATAGTTCCTTCATTATGACAGATCTTCCCTCTCTCTCTCTCTCTCTCTCTCTTGTCAAGATTAACTACCTTATCCAATTCATAATACACACAAACTACGTAACTCTCAAGAAATTATGGAGATTTTTTCTCTCACTTTCCATCCTCCGTATCAACGTGGGGTTGTCTTCTCCGCTGAATGAGTCGTTCAACCCAGCGAGCCAACCCCAGTTTTTCATCAAGACCCTTGATGATCGATAAAAGGAAGCCTGGGCTAGCGTGCGTTGGGAGGGGCGTGTATAATAAGATGCCCACCTAAGGTAGGTAAGGTAGCTATGCAAAGACGACACTCAACAACACCTGATAAACTTAAGCATTCACATTCAGGCAAGTCGTGATACGGATCAAGCCGAAGGAGGTGTGGAAACGGAAAAATAGGAACTGATCACCAGGGACAGACAGTATAATAGAATAAGACTGTTAAGAAGGATGAGTGAGTATGGCCAAGAGACTTGTTACTAGGTACTGTGTGACACTCTTCTTAAACCCTAGTTACTATGCCTATGCTGTAAAATATCATCAGTTCCAATTACCAAGTACAAAGAATACATATATAAGTGTCAAAAGCTCACTGTCATATCGTGACATACATGTTCTCAATAATCAAGTCTTCACTTTCTGCTTCCTTCAATTCCAGAGCTCTAATTGCAATTAGCCTAAATCCACCCATCAACAGCTCCCACCCCTGTCCCATCTTCAGTTTATATCCCGGCCAATAGAACTCGTGACCTCTCAAAGTCTGGCTGCTCCTCGTGAACAAAGTCAAGCCAATGAGTAGCGAGCGCTTCTACCTGACAGCAAGAAGTGGGCGTGAGGAGATTGAATCCAGCTTCTAAGAATTGTCTCTTTTCTTGACTCTGGATACAGAAGGTCATTGGGATGTTTCTCTAATGACTCCATCTTCTAGAGCATTTTGGTTGACGTACTGAAGGTTACCTAGGTAGGTATATCATAGCCATGAGCCTCAAACGTGGGGGTCATTCAGGTCCGGTGACATCCTTGCCGCCTGGAATCTCATCATCTTCGTCGACATCACGGACACTTGGATTTTGCGTACTCCTCTTGTTCTCCATCCAATTCCCTCTTCTCCTGTTGGGGCGCGTCTAGGCTGAAAAACGCCACAAGGATTGCATGCGTGTACCTCTCTTATCTGCATTTTCTATCCGTACATATGATAGTGTACACACATTACAGTCTGTGTAGTAAACCTGGTCCAAATCTCATGAGTTGCTGTTGTCTTTATGATTGTAGACCTTTCCTCTTGACCCTTTAGGTTATGTGCCCCGCGAAACACAATTCCTTATGCCTTCTCTTCCACTTTTAGAATACACATGTCTATGATCTGCTCTATTGCACCAATTGCTTCATATCAATGCCGGCACTGGCTCGGAACAACATAGTAAAATCATGAGAAAGAAAAGGGTGTGCATTCTCCACTGCATATGCACATGCAGATGCCATCGGTCTTCCTTCACCGACCGTCAGGTCGACAGCTGCCGGCTGTTGAGAGATCCTAGTCCGAGCCTCTCACGGCTTCTCATCCGGCCGGGCTCCACTGGTCTGCAGTTCAGACCCCAAGACACCGAGATAGACCCCAGCCAAGGAACAAGGTTGTCTTGGACGTGTCGTACCAATTCAAAGGGTAGCTTCGAAGAGAACAAGATGCAGCATGGCCGTGATAGATCCCCAGGATCCCCGGCTAAAGTCTCGCTTCTGACAAGGCATCCTCCACTCTATTGCTTATTTCTGTTCCTGAGACCATCGCCTTGTTCATGGGAGCCATTGGGTTCGTGAACATGACCACTACTCCTGTGATCGTGGTGCTCATGATGCTCATGATTGTGGTTCGACTCACCCTCTGCCTCAGACGCATCCTCCTCGGTCTCTGGTGGCAGAACCACAGTCCCAGGGATAAAGTCATCAAACCTTGCCTTGGTGGTAGCCTCCTTGGGTGAGAATCGGATGCGAACTCTTCTGACACCGCGTACTCTCCCTCCGACTTGGGTCCGCACAGCGTCTTCGACTTGCTGCGTTGTGTCAACAGACCATGCACCAGGTACGGTCATCTCGAGGTCCACAAGATAATTCTGGCCTGATTTGATACCGCTCACTTCGCGTAGAGCAACTTGATGTCCTTCAACCACGTTCTTCAATGCTTTATTAGCCTGTTTTGTTACTGAAGACTTGATCTCATCATCAATGCCCTGGTCTGCCAGTTCGCGAAAAGCAGCAACTGTGTTTCCGGCACCAGCCTGGATAACCATGATGGAGATGAGAAGACCGCCGACGGGATCCAGCCACGCCGCATTCTCCATTGCATTAGCTCCTATGATGGCTGCCAAAGTGACGAACCCCGTTAAACTGTCGACTCGGTGGTGAATGGCGTTCGACGCGAGAACCGACGATTTACGTTCCCGGGCAACCTTCATTGCTGCAACTGGTCAGCTAATCCCAAGGCTTACGTTAAACGCGCGCAGTCTGGCGCCGTGCCCCTCAGACTTGGGAAAACACTTACTCGCATGGTAAAGCCATTCCTTAATCAGAATGGTCCCTGCTGCAAGCCAAGCGGCATGCATACTCGGGATCCCAAGAGCTGCAGCTCCATGAGAATGGCTATGACCGTGTCCGACGTGCTCCAGAATTCCATGTGCCGCTTCAGGGTAAAAGTGCCCATAAAGACTGATACCGCTGTCCCAACCCATGTAAAGACCTCCGGCCAAGAGCATGCTCGAGACACCGAGTGATCCCAGACTCTCTACCTTGCCAAAGCCCATGGGGAATTTGTCTGTCGGTGGTTTGAGACTCCATGTGACTGTCGCGAGTGTCAAGATATCGGATGCGAGATCTGTGATGCTATGCCATGCGTCGGCGGTCATTGCTTTGGAGTTGAAAGCCCATCCACCTGCGAATTTAGCGATTGCCATGCCCAGGTTAGAGACCAGGCCAATCCGGGTGATTCGGACACCGGGGTCGTCTTTGTTGCCTGAAGTTAGGTACGCGTTGTCGTGATGGTGATGGTGGCCCAATATGCCATGGCTATGACTGTGGTCATGACCGTGGCTGTGATTCTGACCATCTTTGTGGTCGTGGCCTTGACCTTGGCCTTGGCCAGTATGCGGTCGTATCTGCGACATTGGAGTTTTCACGAGCGAGTGTGGCGATCGAAGTTTGTTGCGAAAGGGAGCGAGGTGTGGTAGCGAATTAGTCGAAGGGCGAGTGACGGAAGCAGTATTTGATACGTGGTAGGATGAGAGTTTAGACGAGGCTGAGAGGTAGGCGCACGTCGATAGGGCGGCGACGATGGAAGCTTTTTGTAGGGCGCGTAGGCGAAGACGTAGACAAGCGACGTGGGGAGTTGCTATATTTGATCTCAAAAGGGACATCTGGCCTCGGTATTTGTTCTGTTGTGAAATATGGACATTAGGGTGCACATTGATATGTCCATGTCCGTGTCCATGTCCCCATGAGGCAAAGCCACGACTCCTCTGGTTGTGACTGTGCGTGGCTCCGGGTCCAGCTATTGGCGACGTCACTGCAGCGCCTGCGCCTGTGCCTGTGCCCGTGGGACGGCCGGCCTGCGGGAGACTCATACAGTATATCCGAGATGCTGTCTTGCAGGGGAAATACGGATAACACGGGAAAGTGGGAGAAGGGGCCGGGTATCTTGTTGCGTGTTTTCCCTTGCAGTTGCGTAGGGTCTGAAGCACGGTTCAGATATTAGGTAGACAGAGAGATAGGTTATAGACGAATGCTAGGGAAGAAAGGAAAGATGGTGTGTTTTGTTAACGTCGGGTTATCTACTAGGTAGGTAGGTGGTTAGGTATCCAATGCCATAATATGCCCGTTAACGGAGCTGTTCAAAGTTTCGAGTCGGATTCAATAGAGCGAGCGGATTTGGCTCGGTCGGAAGCGGACCAAGGCCACATGAGCGAGTCAAAGAGTCAATAACTTAGTAATTATGCGAAGAAGAGACAGAATTCCCCGACAGCGAGGGGGAGGAAAGATTATCAAGATTGTCAGACATAAAACAAACAGAGCAACTTGGGTAGGTAGTTTAGCTCCACCAAAATCCAAACTTGGTGCGGCAATTGGTAGGAAAAGACACCGACCTACGACGCCATTGAGGATAGAATGCGAGGTGAACCCACTATCTACGACACTCTCGCCTGATGAGTGATCGCGAGGTTCCGGTCTCCGGGCAGCTCAGCCAGCAACTTGCAGGGCCCGGCCTAGGGAGGAGGGCCTGGGCTTGACCGCTGAGCCATATGTATGTTTTCGGGGATGGCAATTGAGTAACAACCCAGTAGCCCAGGTGTGTGGAAGCAATATCTATCTTGCGTCCATTCAGTACTATCATGTTTCTCCTATTCCGATCAACCACAGAGGCCTGTCTTCCCTGAAAGCTGACTCGAGTTTACCATCTTCTTTGTCATTATCAGGTTCGGGTTGTGGGGGGATTCAAGCAATAAGCGCCCACCCCAGCCGATGGTTAATTCAGGCATTACCTACCAGGCCGTTCAGCCACAATGCCACATAAACCCTTGGTTGCAAGGCTGAGAGTTGGAATCGTCCCTGAAACCAATGACGCGCTCTTCTCCATACACTACACTGGCTCTAAGAATAATCCCGGTAGCCAAATTTACAACCATCTTCATGACTGTATGCCACGCCATCCTCTTGTCCAATATCAGTCCTTGTGTTTCAATTTTCGTATCCTGGTCGTCATCACTGGTCAGCTCGAGTCAGTGCCTTAGCAGGGCTGGTGACTTGGTCTTCTTCAACCAATCCTCCACAAGCAATTGGAAACAGCCTCGTCAGCCACTAGGGATTGGGTTTGAGTTTCACTTTAAGAATTATCATAGCGAGTATTCGTAATTCTTAAATATTACGACCAAAAGCGGCTCCAATGAGCAAGCCTCTGCTCAGGATCCCTTACACGGACCTCCCCCTGCCTTCAGTAATTGCTCCAGCTTCGGCCTCAACACTCCCTGGAGCCATCGCCGCCCTCCATCGCTTCTTTGTAGCGCCCTCTCCGAGCCACTTACCTTCATCCGCCGTTGTTCTCACCGGTGCAGGCCTTTCAGTTGCCTCGGGCTTAGCAGATTACCGGGGCGTCAAAGGCACCTACAAGGTCAACAAGACATATCGGCCTATCTACTACCCAGAATTCCTCAAGAGTCACGAATCTCGCAAGCGATACTGGGCTCGAAGCTTTCTAGGCTGGTCTAATCTCCAAAAGGCATCCCCAAACAACGGCCACTATGCCATAAGAGATCTCGCGAATCTTGGTCTGATACGCAGTGTCATTACTCAAAATGTTGACTCGTTCCATCCAAGAGCTCATCCTGATCTACCAACTTTAGAATTACATGGGTACTTGAGAGCCGTTGTCTGCACGACTTGTAGAAACGAGTTCTCCAGAGATGAATTCCAGGAGAAATTGTCCACCCTCAATCCTAAATGGGCCGAGTTGCTCGAGAGGACCCTCAAGTCAGGGGCGTTAGACACTGAAGACCCAGTTGAGCGCAGGTTCAAAGGCCTAAAGGTGAACCCCGACGGCGATGTGGATCTACCAGATGCTCCTTATACAACCTTTAGATATCCCTCTTGTCCCAAATGCTTATCCAGCCCTCCAAAGGATGCTGACGGACATCAGCATGTTGTCCAGGTCGACACAGATGGTGCATGGAAGCCCCCCAGCACCGCGGGAATTCTGAAGCCTGCGGTGGTCATGTTCGGAGAAAGCATTGACAATCATGTCAAACACGCTGCCGAGGAAGCCATTGACAATGCGGGAAAGCTTCTCATTGTTGGAACCTCTCTTGCCACTTACTCAGCTTGGAGGCTTGCCAAGCGAGCTCAGGATCGGGGCATGCCGATCGCCATCATCAGCATGGGCGGAATCAGAGGCGAGGATAAGTTCTTCGCGGGCATGGATCCCAACCAAGAGGGTGAGCAGGGAGTGAGAGTTGCGTTGTCGACAGACGACCTCCTTCCAGCTCTTCTTTCTGCACTGCGCAACGATGTTGCGCCATCAGAAGCACCAACACGGACTTCGCTCCAAGCTTCCTTCGGAAATCGTGGTGTTTTCAAGGACATGCTCTCATGAAAGTAGATTATCAGTGTATTACTACCCAATCCTGAGGATAGATTCATACGCTTAAATGAAATTACCAAGACTTCCGGGTTTTGTGTTTGTCGGTGCAGCCTTGACAGACTGTGCATTCTGGGTTGAGGTTGATGAGGTTGTGTTTGCGGGCTCACTTCGCTCTGGCTTCTCTCTTTTCGACTTGCGAATTGCTTCGTCACGTTCAATCGCCTTCAACACTGCAAAGATTCGTTAGCAACTAGTAAGGGTGATGGCTGGACCCGGCCCATACTCTCTTCCCAATCGGCTTCCTTTGCAGGATCTCCAGTTCCAAGTGCCGCCTCCACGTCAACTGGCTCGCCTCGTTGGATTTTCTCGACAACTTCCCGCAGGGATGCAATTCGAGCCTCTGAATGTCGCATATATCGATCAAAGGAATTTCGCAAAGTAATCATTTGAATCGACATGGACCCGATAAGAAGAAATATGGCAATGAAGAATGTCGCGGGATTCCATTCCTTGGACTTCTTCCTCAACTGGCGATTCTCCTTTCTCAGTGGCTTCGGTACCAAGTTTCGCCAGAATGACCTATCGACAACTGTGGCCGGGGCTGTGCTCGAGTATCGAATGCCGCATCTCGAGGTATACGACGTCCTGAACACAAAGGAGGCCACTCGGATATAGCCAGGGCGAAGAGAAAGTTGGCGAAGCGACATTTTGCGATCTTTAAATCTCGACGATTAATGTCGTCGTTAGCTGCTACTTAGCCTACTTGAGATCCGAAACTTCAAAGATCTTCTACCGAGAATATGAAAGCACGGACCATCTGATCCGGGGACCGACAGTTGCCCCGGGCAACCAGCTGTGTTTGCCCAATTCCGGGGCTAGGCCGCCAGGATTAACACAGTCAACTAATTATCAATTGCGACATAGAGACCTGCAGCTTTTCGTTTTCAACTTGCATATTGTACCTGTACTGTACTGTACCTCCCTCAATATTAGGAGCTTTTGGTTTTTGACGACGGCATGGTAACGAAATTACACTCATAATCTAAATGGCTTCACTGCAGGCAAAGGCCGACGCGGCCAAGACAGCTTTAGCCTCAACATCAACATGCACGACTGCCACCGTCGTGACTCTTAAGGAACTCCTGCTACCCGACATCGAGACTCCATACACGGCATCACAAACCAATTCACGAACGGCCTCCAAGACAACGACGAACTCGAAGGCAAAACGAACCGCGGGCGGCAAAACTCAGACAGCAAAGTCTGCCAGCGAGCAGCTTTTATCGAAAGACCGTGCAGCTCTGGCAACACATGTAATCAACATTTGCATCAAGTCCCTGAACGAAGCCGCGAAACCCACCACTCCTGCGACTCCGGGTAAGCAACAAGCCTCTCAGGGAGACTCCAAGAAAACATCTGGCCCTCGAACGTTGCGGAGATCCCTATCCGCACCGTTATCACCGCTGCAGCCACGAACTTTGAATCGCGTAGCTACCTCGCCAAACATCGCCGCCAAAGCAGCAACACAAGCGACAACGCAGTCTACAGGATGTCTCGCCGCTGTCGAGTGCGCACGCGTGGCTTTCACCTGCCTACGATCTATTATGGGCCCAATGCAGGCGACACAAACAGATTTCCAACTCGAGAATGGAATGTCAGCTTTCATTAGCAAACTTCTAGCGCTTGGGTTTCAAGATCAGGCCTTAAAGGAGCTGAGGGTTCTAAAGCGACGGCTCGATGCTGGAGTTAACAAGTCAACGAAACCAAATTCTACCGAAGGACAAACAGCTGCTCAAGTCATTTTGGAGTTGCTCGACTATGGTGATAAGATTCCCGATAGCTTGCTACCAATTGTTACAGGCTGTCAAATTCAAGTACTGCGATGGATTGCGCATTCCAAGAAACCAGCTCATATCGAGGCCGTGCTACCACTTCTTGAGGAATCTCACGTATCGTCCCCCATCAACCTGTTGGTGAGGTCGGGGGCCAAAAATGCGAAGGAAACGCAAAAAGTAGCCAGGCAACTAGCCTCACTATCCCAGACTCTTCTGTCACTAGCACCCAGTGTCTCTAGCAAGGAAGATGCAGTTGCGACAGAGTCAAGACTGAGTCCGTCTCCAACTTCAGCTTTCAAGCTGCAAGTGCTCTGTTTCAAGATTCAGCTTCGATGGTGGAAAATGGCTGGCCACCGTGGAAACGTTGACGACGATATTCTTTCGCCTTTTTCTCGATGCGTTCGCGCGTATACCCGACGACAGCCACCCACGAATGGACCAACTTACAATCTGATTGCTGCATCCTTCCACGCGCTCATGGATCTAGTTGGGCCACAAGAGTCCCAAGCCAAGGCTTCATTCGACTCTCCCCTGACTTCCATTTACCAACTTCTTGGTATCGCAGCTCAAACGGACCGCCAAAACGATGCAGCATGCCACTGGTTCCAGAAACTGAAGGATATACTAGAACCTGACGGGGAATCGGCTATTCGCATGTTTTCCATTTCGGCCCGCCTTCTCGCTGCACTGTTGAAACAATCCAAGCATGATACCAAGACGCAGCAGCTAGTTCAGGAGGTTACAGAGAGTCTCGAAGGCAGTTTGAGTGGAAACATCACCGACCTTAATGAACTGCTAGAGAGTCTTTCACTCGCTCGACGGTCAGCCGTTGGGTTCCTTGTTAGTAACTCGAATGGTCCGGGAGTTAAAGATGACACATTAAATTTAATCCGGGAGCATCTGAAGACATTCATCACCAAGTTTCCACGGTTCGGCCGCCGTTGGCTAGGCGCTTCCCCCAACAGAGACGCTTCAGCCAAGTCCATCCTCCAGTTCGACCAGCGACGAGAGATTTTGATGCAGTCGATCAATCAGATTATCGATGGCACGTTAGTGGTCATCAACGGCGATATCCAGGCCGACTCTATTACTTGGAAGCATATGGATGAGGTCCTCTGGGACTGCAACAAACTGATTGATGCTGTTCTCGATCCCACGATTTCAAGGGCACGAACAGAGCAGCTCAGTGGTTATTTTGCGAAAATATCCAGTCTGTATTTTGCCAGGTATAATCAAATACGCAAGGGCCTCGGCAAGTCCAAACAAGTCAATAAGGAGATTCTTCAGTGTCTGAGTCGCTCCATTGAGATGATTCAGGATCGGCCGATGGCCCAACAGGAGAAGGCTCATATGTCAACCAAACTGGAGTTATTTGCCGATCTCTGCAAGGCTGCAAACCGAAGTGAGGATGCAATCAGAACTCTCCGATCAATCTGCACCAACATGATTGAGGAGGGCGCTTTAGTCAAGGTTACTACAGCGCTAGATTCCCAACCTCCGAGCATTGCTTGGAGTGCTGATGATAAGGCAGAGATATTGTCCCGAACACTACGTTCAATTGCTAAGCTTGACCACTCATGGAACGACTGGGCATTCTTTCTGCCGGAGGGTGAGCGAGCTGCAGTACTCGAACACTTGATGCAAATCGTAGGAGACACAGCAAATAGGGCAGAGCCACTCAAGCTGCACGATCCATCAGTCCAGGCTCTTCTGCGAATCTACACACCCGACCGCTTCCCAATCCGGCGCCTTCGAGTTCTGCTCCAGCTGCTCTTCCAGGCCATTGGTGAAGAGAACGAAATGGAGCAAATTTCTAACTTGGCTGGGGCAACTATTCAACAACTGGACAGCAAAGACTATGGCGATGACGCTGCTCTACTTCGTTATCTTCCACATCTCAGGGCATTACATAAGTCAATGTCTGCATTGGCTGTCACTAGCGATCCTCTCCCGGTGTCTGCCCTGAGAGAAGCCCTTGTCTCTTGGAAATCGATGACTGAATCATGCAAATCCAGAAACGATGTCTGTGAGCGAATTGACAATCCTGATGGTCTTCTGACACACCTCCAATCTGCCAGCCACTTCGCCAACCTTCGGGGTGAGAACAGTCTGCAGCTTGAGATCTTAGAACTATCAACACCTCTGTCCAAGATTCTGGCCGAACCGACCTATAACAATATCATCCTTAATCATACACTTCTTGCATCACAACATCTCAATATCGGTCACTTCTCTGAGGCAAAACAAACACTCGATGAGATAAAGAAGCTTTTGTGCCAAGCCGACGGCGCCTCTCGTGGCCTGATTGCTGGGTTTCATCTGACACAAGCCGAGTATTACTCTGGCATTGGTAATATCGATGAAGCGTGAGTGCATAACACTGGGAAAATGGAACCATTCTGACTCGTTTCTAGCGATTCCTCATTAGCGGCTGCAAAGGCAATTTACAATGGATCTGCTTCATCGTGGGCATTGTCAAAATCACAAGTCAACATATCTCTAGCCCTCAGCTCGTTCCTAGACTCAGTTCTCGCGTTAAAGCGTGGTCGGATACAAGACGCGCTTACCTGCGTTAAATCAAGCGTTCGAATTCTTTCACACGACTGGTCCAAGATCGAGGCGACAGCATCCCGAGCAGCCAGCCCTGGCGTTATGAACGCCTCAACAGCTAGTCTTGATAGTGTGAAGACTGATGCCAAGCTTGGTCAGGTGATCGGCCCTCGATTCTGGGCACTTGCTTTCCCCCTTCTGCGAGGTCTCCTGCATATCTCTTCTGTCTATGCTCATCTTGGCATGTACCAGGAGACCATTTACTACGCAGAGTCGGCCCAAAAGGTTGCTGAAAGCACAGGGTCATCACTCTATCGTGCACAGGTACTCGCTTGGACAGGTTCCGTCTACCACCGAGCTGGGAAGCTAACCAAGGCGCTCGATTTCGGCAACGAGGCGTTCAACGAGTTACCGGAAGACATCTCAGCTTCTCGGGTACAGGTTGCTTGCCAACTTGGCGGCTTGTTTCGCGATAGCGGCGACGAAGACAAAGCCCGTGAACTACTTCAGCTTGCCGAGGAGACTGCGCAACGCCTTGGCGATCACGGAAAGGTTCTAAGCATCCAGAATGAGGTGAAGAAAACGGCTCCGGTTGCTGCCAGAGCACGAGCAACAGCTGCTACGCGCGCCACTCGAACTGCCACAAGGACGACAAGGGCTAAGACTGCTGCAAATCCTGCACCACGAACCGGAAAGCGGGAGGTCGTCGTCAAGGTTCAGCCATCTGCTGCAGAGGTGCTAAAGCTACCACAAGACGCATACCAGGCTTCTCTTATGGCATCGGTCATCCTATCACGGGCTTTAGGTTTCATCAGTCAGAAGGATTGGGCTTCTGCTTTGTCAACTTTGGAGGATGCCAGAGAACTGCCAAAGCTCTTCGGGACTCTATCCCAGGAACAAGTCGTGACTGCAATCTCTCTTATCGGCCATAGCACAGAGCAGATGATTCACGACCCTGTGTTCTCCGTCATCCAAGACTCGACCATTTCGTTCCCTGCTATTGCTGCTTCTGACAAGGCGAAGGCTTCGCAGGGCCAGACGCCTCCACGCAAAGGACGCGTAGGAGCCGCTGAGCGAAAGAACTCCAAGGAAACCAGTGTTCCTGCATTCGCTGAAGCATTGAAACAAGCACAAGAACTACTTCTCGAAGCTCATGCTTCGACGCTGTCAACCGCTAATAGCACTATGGTTCATCGCATTTCGGCTTTGCTACAGAACACGGTCATTCTTCTGTCGGCTACGTCTACGACACAATCTAGGGTCCTTGCTGGCTCGGGGTTCGCAACTTTCTCTGTAGACTTGGCTCGTAACGTCACTTGGAA